AGATCAATGGCTGTGACAGTGCTTTAAATGGAGATAAATGAACACCTCAATCTTCTTTTCCCCCTGGCAAGTATAAGCATTTGTTAGCCCTTATTATCAATAACGGTAAAGGGAATTCCATGCCATGTTCTTGTTAAAGTGCTGGCAATTAATTGATTGATGTAATTAAGTAGTCAGAGCATGCCTCTATCTGCTGATGTCTTATGAGTGCCAGGCATCTAGAAAGGAGAGCATTACTTCATCTGATTTTACAACCTTTTTTGAGGTCTGAACGCATTAAAAGCAGCAAAAATTTCTTTTAATGAGATAACAGCAGTAGCGTGGCTACAAAGTTCAGAAGCCATTTCCTATGCAATATTTTCCTCTAGAATACTGATAACTTTCATATCAAGTAAGGTACTTTGATTTTAAAAAAAGAAAACATCTTTTTTTCTAGACAAAATATGAAACTTCCTCTGTTTTCAATATCTGCTTTATCTTAAGGTCTCAGTAGCCTTTAGGCAGCAATAAAGTTAGTTATGGCAGATTGAGTCTCACTTGCTTACTATATACTAGACATTGAAGTTGTTTCAGCATCACATCTGTCTATCTATTGACTGCTATTAAAAATGAGGTTTATGTTTAATTGCCTGAAATACTTAAGTGTTGTTTAATTGAGAATTCTAATGCTAGAGTTAAAAAATAAAAAGTAAAAAATTGTTATTACAATGTGGCTTAGATTGCAACTAGGTAAAACTCTAACAAGCAAGAGCTAGAAATCATGGCTTAGTACCAGAGCTACAACATCACTGGCAAGTGAAACCTGATGGAAGAGTCCTGTGTCTGGTGGTCGCAGTGGATGGTTCTAGGCTCTTCAGAAGGCACAGGCAGGGCATGTGACATAGAGAGTAGGGCTGTGTGTGAGGGGGTGGCTGGGCTGCATGAAGTTCTCTGGCAGTGATATGGTTGAGATCCTGAACGTAGCTATAATTTCTGAGCTTCTGTCAGCAATCTGTCTGATCCATTTGTCCTGTGGTCATTTCTGGATGTACTGAGCAATAAAGTTTCTGCATGCATCTCATCTGGTATTCTGAGAAATTGTTGCTATAATGACAGTACTTTTTCTTTTGTTCTAAGATAGACTTGTTAGTGTGGCATGCTAATGTTTACCTGGTTTTCATTAGAAATTCTATTTTGCTTGTCTCTATTCATTTAATTTCAACATTGCACTGTATTTCTATACTGTGTTATTAAAAATTAAGTAGCTAGTCTAAAAAGAAAACAACTGCTTTGAAACATGGAAAGGAAATGACCTTTTATTCCTTTTGCTTACAATCCTCTACAGCTGCTGTGCTGCAGAGATTCTACAGAAAGATATTGCTGGGATATAATATGATACAAAGCACAGCAGGATGCAGTCTGCTGGCCATGCCAAATACATCTTGCAACAGACAAGAGGTTTAAAGGATATACCCATGAGGGACTATTAAATGAATGTAACTGGAGAGGCTAGTACAGGGAAGAGCCTTATTCTAAAGATGCAAGATTAACATGAGCAGCTGCTGATGTTAAGACAAGCAAAGAATAATTTGGTATTGTATAGAATAGACAATATAATGAAAAGGTGTAAGTGATGGTGTCCATCATTACTGTTCAACAAATAAACTATTTCTTCAGCTTCAAATATTCACTGACTTGGAACAAGTTTCTGAAAGAGTGGAAAGAAAAACTGATTAAAGAATCTGGAAAACCTGTTCTGATTTTTTTTTTTAATGGTTTTCAAAGAGATCTGAGGTTTCAGCTTAATATTGAGAGGACCAGGATGCGCCTGGAAAGCATAGGGATTAGTTCCATAGAGAATCACAGAATGTGCAACATCTGGTTTTTACTGCTTGATACTATATTGAATGTTATGTATGCTAGTAGCTTCTCTTCTACTTCTTCTTTCTTGATGTTACAAGGATGTTCAGAGTTAGGTTATAAAACGTCTTATGACAAGCAAATTCATGTAAGCATCCTTGTCACTTGAGTTTACCACTGTGTGGAAGGAGTCAGATTTGTTTATAGGAAGCAGAATGAAGGAGCTAATAACTGAGAGGAATGTAGAAGTGAGGAAGCTGGTGAAATTGTGTGAAGATCTTTTAGAAGCTGGAGTTTGTGCAATGAAAGCTACAGTGTGCTTATCTACAGTTTAGAAAACCACTCTTTACAGAAATACAAAGTAGGCAGTAGATTACTGTTTAAGGCAATATACCAGCATAAGGAATGTATGCAGTAACTAGGAGGGAGGCAGTAGGTTTGCAGACTTTTCCAGTATATTAGTTCTAACATTTTTTCTAATTATAGTATTGTTTTCTCTTGTGTTTTTATGTCCCACATTAAGGATATCCACTTTCTAAAATTTAAAATAATCTAGTTACATTTTCATTAGAATATCATCATAGTAACTTATGGGTGCTTATTTCTAAATTGTCATACATTTGTCTGAATTATGACAAGACTAAATTATGTTATCCCTGTTTATTTTGCTTAAATGAGACTGCTTCTCTTTGTCAAATTGATCACATTTTCTTTGGCCTTAATTACTATAACGTACTCACAAAGAATTTTGAGTAATCAATTATGTATCACTTTCTGGAATCAAGGCAAAGAAATTTTCTTGTATCTGACCAATCATTCTTACACAATGGAATAAAGAATCCTAGAATTTTTTTATGAAGTACATATATGTATGAACATACACGTTAGGTCACTCTGAAAGTAATACCTCAGATTTATTTCCTGGAAAAATACAACAGGTACAAAGAGCATAATAGCACTATTTGGTTATTTTTCAGTGCAGTCACCACCACTAGCTATGCAGTTTTGCCGGTGATGAGTAAGAGCTTTCATGTCACACTCATAAATCTGTACCAATGGAATGCCCCATTGTTTCTATGGGTCTCTACAACTACTATGACAATATCATTACTAGGATAAGGTTTGTTTTTATACATATATACATATAGTGTATATATATTTATATACAGTGGTTGTGGTAGGACAATCTGTTCAAGAATGGTAATGTGCTCCGCAGTTTACTATTTGGTATGGGGTCTGCATGAAAAAGGTTTGTCTTCTCTGACCTCGCTCTGGAAGTTTGAGACTTCAGCTTAGTAAGCATCATGGTGTCGCAGTCAGAGTTGATGGTTTGCTGGGTTCCAGGAGATCCAGAAGGATCACTGCTGGATTGCCATTGATAAATTCACTATCTGCTTTGGTGCTAATGTCTCAAGGCTTACTGGTAATTAATTAGCAATTCACTGGCTGTGATTTGCAAAGTAACAGAGGCACAGTATCATACTCTAGGAGGCGTGGCTGCTAATGGGGAAAGGAGGATGAGAAAGATCTAGAGTGTCTTCTGTCAACAAAGTGGTGACAGAGGGACAGGTTTATACTCTATTATGGTGAAGCTGGGTTGTGCATGCTGATAGGCATCTTAGCAAGGCTTGCTGTTAATTATGCGGGGGGGTTGATACTGAACCCTATGTTTGATACTGAGGTGAAGATGCTCTTCTGACTTTACTGAAACAACACTGGGCTGTGAGGCCTCCCATCCCAGCTGTCATTCTCTTGCTGTAGTTGCCACGCTATAGGCAAGGTGATCAGTTGCACATCTGTGTCTGGTATGTAGGCCAGAGAAGCAAGTTTGTCAACTCTTGCTGTTGTTCAAGTCCCATGCAAGATAACCACATTGAATAAATCACATTTTTGCTTAAGCTTCAATTCTTTGCTGACTTACAGTCATTCTGTATTCTGACACAGCAAGCCTGGTGATTTCCTATAATATTTTTCTGTGTCTAGCAAACATTTACAGTTATTTTAGGAAAGATTAACCAATTTCAGAAAGGGTAGGAAATCAAAACTCTCGTACTCAAAGGCATAAACCAACGTCTGAAGCTGAAAACGCTTTTCTTACTCATGTTCCCTTTCCATATTAATACTTTTACTTTCTAATTCCTTCTGAAGCATATGGCATGGCTCTGATTGGAAATAGGATATGAGACTAACATGCTTTCCTCTGTAGTATTTCTTATTACTTCTACATGTGTTTTCTTCAGTTAAATATAATTTAATAAAAAGAGTCTTGTGTTTACCCCTACTATGTCTTGCTATAATCATGCTGCAGTGTAATAAAGATGGGAATTGGGAACCAATTTATCATTCTCTTTCCTGCGTAATACATCCTTTTTTCTCCTTTCGTTTAATTCACCTACCAACTTACCACTAGGAATACAACATTTCAGTGGTGAAATGTGCTTGATAGCATTTTGTCCTCTGCATTTCAGAATACATTCAACTTTGATGTCCTGCAAAAATTCTCACGTACAAAACCAAGATATCTGAATCCTTAAATGACAAATGAGTGGCAGATTTCACTGCGGCACCTGTTTGTAATTTTTTTTGCAACTGTCCATGAAGATGTTTTATATTCATCTTGTGTAAATTCCCATTGCCAAGAGTGATTTCTACATAGAAACTCATTTTTTTATTATTCATATGTGATATTTACTTTTTTTTTTGTACTTGGCTAACATTTCCTTATGTATAATGGAGAATTTCCCTGTGTTATGATATGGACAATGTTGATGCTGTTATTAGTTTCCCTAGTTTTCTTAGTTTACTTCTCCAGTTCCCAGTGCATTCAGCTGTTTTAATGTTTTGTACTCTATTCCCTCTTATAAATAGAGAATGCTATTTCTATGTCTAAGCTTTCTGACTAGATGTCAAAGACACGCAGGGCAGCAATCTTCCCTGTTCTCTCTGAAGTAATTTTAGAATATTGTTCTCTCATTGCTGTGTTCCTGGCTGCCAAGTTAAGGACTTTGCTCTTTTGTGAAATATGGAAGAGAAGAAAAATAACTGCAGCAACAACAACAACAACAACAACAAAAAAAAAAAAAAAAACACCACCCAAAAAACAGAAAACTACAAGCCAAGGAGAACTTGCCAATTCCTGAACCGATGATTTTGCATTCCAGGATCTGAAGTAGAAGTCTACCTAATTTGAACATCTATCTCATGTAAGTCAAAGTGGAGTTGTATTTGGACAGGATTGTTGGAGTCACTCCATCTCAGTTGTAGATGGTGCGATTTCTCTAAAATGAGTAGCTTAGTAGCTTACTCTGCAAGAGATCCCTGTTGGGGAAAAAAAACAAACAAAAAAAAAACAACAACCAAAAAACAACAAAACAACATCAACAAAAAAAAAAAAAAAACAAAAAAACAAGCAAACAAGCCAACAAATAAAACAGCCCAAAAAAACCAAAAGAATGCAACATAGTTGCCTCCTGCTGAATTTTTTGGCTTCTGCACAAGTGATTGCTATAAAAACAGCAGCAACTTCCATCAGTTACTTTCTATGCCACATTCTCTGTGTGGAGAAAGCAGTAATTTGTCATACTGTTCTTACGTATGAAACTTTGGTGGTTAAGATAGTCAGTAACACTTAATTTTTTCTTCTGATTTTTATTACAGCCCAGGCAAGGGAATCACAGGAATCTGAGTTCATTCACAAAGCCTTCCAGCCATACTGTGATTGCTGTCAGTTGAATGCTTTTATAGTTAGCATTTCTCCAGCAGAGCATTCTCTGGTTCAACAACTGCTGAAGCAAATGGGAACATTCACAGTGGCTGCAGTGGGATCAAGATCATGTCCTTGTTGATCACTGTCTGTAGACCTAATGGACTCTGCTACCAAACTCTCTCTTGTAAATGAGCGCCCTTATGGATGTGTTGGCCCTTTGGCTCAGGAATCAAGTGTGTTTGCCTTTATCACTCTCTTCAGTGATGTGAAAGCTGGTGATTATGTAGCTAGGAGCATAACTAAAGTTTTTTAAAGCAGTATTTAAGTCTTGTCCCTTTGGCCCTTACAGTAAATAAGCAATGCAATGACATAGGACTGTGTGTCTGACAAGGGAGAGAGAGGCATTTCTTTATTGTTACCACTGGCATAGCTGGAGTGAGTTTTCTAAAGGCTTACGTTCACTTTTGACACTATGTTGGTATATAAAAGGGAGAGAGTTTCCAGTGAGTGTCTAGTATTTAACTCATTTTCATCTGATGTCAAGGTGTGTGTTCACATTAAGTGCTCATAATGTCAGACAAAAGTACTGACCTGTCTGTGCTCTAGGAAGGAGGTAGAAAAGGCACTCTGCGAAGTGTCTGAATCTGAAAAGATTTGAATTGCTTTTCAGAGTCCATTGTTTCTCTCTCTTTGTCTAAATAAGGTTTGAAGAAAAACAGTGCTCTTTTTTAACTGTCTAGTAGGTGCCTAAAAGTAGATGTAGTTCCAGAAGGAAATCGTGGAAGAACTCATCATGACATTATGCCTCAGGCATCACAGAACATCCTCATAGGAAATTTGCCTGAAAAACTTAATTGCAATCCAAGCTACTTACAAACTGCCAGCCATCCATCTCACTGAAAGTTTATTAGGATGAATTGTTTGTTGCTGCTATTTTGCATGCCTTCCACTGGGAATAACACTGCATGGGAAAGATCTTGACCGCATTAACTTTTTCTCTCAGTGAGCATTCCTTTCAAGTATTGAACTTCTGAGAGTATTGATTGTCTCTGTCAGATCACTCCATGCCTTACTGTTCTTAAAAATTCTCAATAAGTTAAAAAGAAGTGAAACTCAAATTACAGATCATTTGTAAGCATACTGGAATCTATATCCTATTTTGCAATGTGGAATATATTGGTTTTGCCTTTGTGAGCTTTGATTTTTTTCAGCCATCCATGAATCCCTGTGGTTTACTTTCTCATCACATTTTTTATAACATAAAAATTCAGGAGAATGGTCAAAAGAAACCAGCATACTTTTGCATAGTCTCTTCTGTGGTTCACTTTAGTGCTGTTTCTGAAATCTGTACTTGCAGAAGTTTGCTGAGGAAGGGAATATTTGCATTGGTGCTGCTATTAAGTTGTGTTTTAGAAGATAATGTTTATTGCTGGGACTGTTAGTGTATTTCGTAAGATCATCCAGCCAACCATTAAGCTAGATATAATGAAGTGTTAATGTTCTCAGTTTTTGTTTATGTAAGTTGGATTCAATAAGAACAATGTGCTTATTGGAATTGTAGCGATCGCATAAATCTCTGAGGCTCTGATGTATATCTGTGGAAATGTCAAAGGTTCAACTCATCTCTTGTTGCACTGAGGTTATGTTTTCACAGAGCTTGGATAGATGGCCTAAATAAAGATGTCTGGAGTTAGATTTACTTTTGATTGATGATGGAGGAAACACTTTTCTGATTAGGAAACCTCTGTCTCTTTTCTGAAGATCTCTGATATTGATGTTTTATATGGAAAGAAGGAAAAATAAAGGACCATGCTTCTTTCCTCATTTTTTCCCATAACTCATAGCATGTGTTTAATTAAACCAATTTTCCATTTAAAGACTTTTTCTTTTTTTTTTAAAAAAAAAGAAAATAACTGAAACAACAGTCAAGGAAAGAACTCATCACTTCTGTGCTACATCATTAACAATATGTTTCCTTTTTTTTTTTTTTTTTTCTCCCCAGCTATGTAAGCTGACCTCATTTACTTCACAATTGTAATAAACAATTATTTCCTGGAGATGGTGCAAATTACATTCAGAGCACTTTCCCACTAAGAAGCAGTAGGAGATGACGTTAACTTTGTCTATGCTAAATGATAGTAGTGCAGTGATCTATATGTAAGAATTGTAACTTTTCTATGGACAGCAAAGCGGAGATGAAAATAGCCTGGAAAGCAACTTCTGGTCCTTCTGCCATATAACTGATGCACTCTCAAAATTTATACTAACCAGTATCAGAGTATCAGCAATTTCTTAAAAATATGATTTTTTTTTTTTTAAAGTCATACTTAATATGAACATCATGTTACTAAGACCCAACATTTCTGTCATACCATACAATTATTTGGCTACTATTGGTTTTTTTTCAGTGAGTGAATCTTGTTTCTCTGTTGCTTTATCTGACATTGAAGCCTCTAATCATATACATTGGAGAACATTCAGGTCAGAATGTTAGGGAATTTTGTGCAAAGCAGCATCTTGAAATAGCTGTTTTGACTTGGATATTCTGTCCTGTTTCCCTATACAAGTGCTCTTTAGAATAGATTCTGTGCTGTTTCCCCTGTACAAGTGCTCTTTTTTCTCTCCATTTTACCAAAGATATGCTGAAGTCACTTTTGTGGCACATTGTGGACATCCATCCAGACTTGCATGGCCAGTCATTACAAAACAAGTGTTCCATGTAATATGGAACATCAACTGCTTTAGAGTCACTTAAGTTCAGAAGTGTTCTTGTGCTGGTTTTCATTTCAGCTACATCCATAAGGGCATTGGCCATCAAGACTAGGGAGCTAAATATGTCACATCTCACTGCCACTCATCTGATTAGCATTAGGGACTGGGGAAGTTTTACCTTATTGTCCTGGTGAACTACCAGAGCCATCTGAGCTTTTTGTCGTTTCCTTATTGATTCCCAGTTGTCGATTTACGTCAGCCATTAAAAATAGCTTTTTAATCTTCTTTCTGTCTCTTGAAACTAGAGAAATCGTTAATTATTTTCCCAGTTAGAACAGGAAGAATAGTTTAATTGCTTAATGATTGAGAAATAATAAGTTAATAAAACACACATAACAGAGAAACACAGCAAGGTTCACTGGTTCTCTTTAATTGTCAAATTTTCCTGTTCAGTCTGTATAATCTTGCAAATGCTGCACCACATTGCAGCTGAGTTTCCATGGTACTCCACAGCCTAAGTAATAGGGGGAAAAAAGAGATTTAGAAAGGGAATTGCTTCTTACCAGTTAATGAAAAACAGATCTGAGTAGGTAGTCTTTACTTATGGTAAAGTCGAATAGAAAATAATGCTTAAGACTTGTAAGCAGGTCTCAGTAAGACCTGCATTCTTACTCAGTATTGCTAATGTCCCTGGAAAATTGTTTCATTGAGCCAACTTTAGGGAATGCTACTCCTATCAAGCTCTCAAAATGCATCTCGCATTGGAGGGAGGAGAGAGTGGTGAACTATACATAAGTAGTGGACGTGATTAATGAAACAAGTGTATGTGAGAGAGATAGAGATGTATATGTAAAGGTTCTAGCCCATACAATTCTTGGAAGAAAACTTTTAAAATTAATCTTTAAAGGATCAAACAGAGCAAAGAAAGTAACTTGCTTGATACTCCAATTTAAAAATAAATAAAAAAATAAAGTAGCATCTCATTATAGAGTAAGCTTTGATTCATTATTTATTTTAATACAATTGTAGCACTGGGGTTTACAATACCAACTAGAAACTTTGTAAGCTACTTTTCCCACAGTAGTGACAACAGAATTTGTTCATTACATTCCTTTTCTTCCTCTCACTCTCCCTCCTTTCCTTCTCTTCACCAAAGTGCAGAAGCAGTGGGCAGAGAAAAAAGCAAAGCATTTCATTTTTGTTTGTGAAGATTTAAGTTGATACAAAAGTAGACTGAACTCTATTAATTTTTAAGGCATAGAAATTTACCCACGAGTCTGGAAATTACCTGTTTCTAGAAGAAGCACATTCATCTTGGATGGCTATTTAAAAGAAAGTGGTAATCAATTTTGCAGCAACATGCTAGGCCATTTTTAATTTCTTTCAAGTTAAATGAATTTGCCATATAGAATACTAGAATGTTTCTGAAAGCTGTAATTGTCAATACTGTGCTTTATAAAGGAAAACTAATTGCTAAATCAGTTTATGTGGAACACAAAATCAAATTCTTAGTGGCTTCTGTGTAAACCTGAACAGCTCTGTGGGTACCATTTAAATTACTCTGGATTAAAATTGTGATAACTGGAAGCAAAGTTTTCCAAGAATCTTTTTCTAAGCATCCAGATTCTTGATTTTGACTGAAAATAATATACAAAGTTGTCTGTTTCTTTAAGACAGATAAAAAGCAAGGATTTAACTTTTCCCATAAACTCTGTCGTAATCCTGACATAATGTGTCAGGAATGAGGAATGTAAAATTCTGGCTCTGCTAAAAGATTCACCAACTCTCTTACTGGTATTGCTTATGCCAGAATTTCATCTAAGACGTTGAACTCGGTCAATTTGAAAGGTTTCCTGAAAGGCTTCCACTGCATACACATTAACATACAACTTTCCCCCTCCCCCCTCCCAGAAAAGCTTTATTTTTCTAGGTGACCAAGAATTTGTAAAACAACAGCTCTCTTGTTTTTTTTGGTTGGTAGTACACCACTGAGTATGGTCTAAGACTTATTCCTTTATGATGTGAAGTTCTATTAAATATCAGGTTATGTAAATAAAAGGTTATTTCATTAAAAAAAAATCTACATTTACAAGACTTTCTATGTAATACAGTCATTTCAAAGACCATCTTATATCTTATATTACATACAAACCATTGAGCATAAAGACTTTGCTCCTTTTTTTTTTTTTGCTTTGTTTTAGACAGTGGCCGTCCTTCACTTCCTCTATTTGAATAAATTGCAAAGAATAATTCTTCATAACTGAATAGGAGAGAGAAGAATGGTTCAAGAGATAACATTCTTCCAGTGCGTAGGTGTTAATTACAACTGTGTTGCACTTCTACTTTTAAGTATACTTTGATAAGAACTGGAAATATTTTTTTTCTTTTCTATTTTATACTTTGAAGACCACGTGTAATTTATCTTGCTGCTAGGGTATACATTTTTTTTCTTCTCAGAGGGAGGAGCACAACATAGGAAGAGATGACAGCCAGGTGTCATATCAGCATCTGAGCCTGGAGTAGCACATGATGTTAACTGCCATTTATCTCCTTTCATCCCTCTGTTGTCTGGGAAATCCTGCTAATAAGGTAATTTGGTTGTTTATCTCTTGATATATATAAATACAGCACTTGTTACAAGGAGAGCTGATTTCAGTCAGCGTCTTAACTTTCAAAAAAATGTTCCCTATCCTGCAATAAAAACTTTGTTTCAGATCTTGACAAAAGGTTCACGGATCCCCAGAGCACTACAAATGGTGGTCATAAAAAAGTCCATATTTAGACTCAATTTGAGCAAGATTTTTCTTTGTGTCAGGCAGCATCGTAAAGAATCTAATCAGCCCTGACTGATATGCTGCTGATCACTTGCAAGAATATTTATTTATACTTCTCTCTCCTGTGAGAATTATGTTCTTCAAAACTTCTTAATAAAATGTACTGCATGTTTGTAGTGAGACTGATTACATCTGAAATCAAAGGATACAATCACATACCTATAAACAATAAACACTTCTTGTTTGCATTGAACATTGAGATATTCCATAGTAGAATATATATTGTAAAATATATAAATCTATATCCGTTAATGTCTTCTATTGAAGTATGGTATCTGAAAAGCAAATACTCTGATGCCTATTATTCCTGTAAATAAATAGTTTTCTTGCAGGATGTAGCAGGTACAAGCTATGTTTTCTTCACTATTGCATCTCAAATATCTGTGACCATCTGAGTGATGAATTTTAGAACATGAAAAGAAATTTTATTGGTGAAGTGCAAGAATGATAATAGGACATGTTAGAGAAGTCAAAATGACTTGCTATATTTCAGTATGAATTCTTCCCTAAAGAAGTGTGAAACTGAACATACTGTTGGAGTCCTGAAGATAAAGCTTTTTGAAGTTAATGGAGATATCTTGGTTGATTTCACTGTATCAAGATAATTGAGGTGGTTTTGGTCTATTGCAGACTCTTCTGCACTTAGGACCTTTTCACTCTTCTTTTTTTTTTTTTTTTTTTCTTTTTCCCATCTT